CCCCAAAACCCCAAAACCCCAAAACCCCTTTTAAACCTGCTAGGTTGGATTTTATTATATTTTTAGTAATGAATCTAAAGAAAGATTCGCATTGGAAGATTGAGACTGTAAAGTCTGGGTGGCATGAGTACCCAACCACTCTTGCCAAGTCACTTACTAAGCAACAGAGGATGGGCCTTGATCATGAGGATGAGTCTGGTAAAACACCTATTGTTGTTGCTCTGCTTGAAGGAGACTATGGAAAAGCTGAAATATTTGTAGATTTGGGATTTTTTGATCCTAAGAGAGTAGATTCTATAACTGGCCTTACTGTTTTACACCATATTGCGCATATCACTGATATGATTTTTCTGAATAAAATGGTAAATGCTTTCAAAAGTGTACTGTTTCAAGAGGATTTCAAAGGTAATCAGCCTATTCACTATGCTTGTTTTCAAAGAAATACAAATTTTGTGGAGATTTTACTTAAAGAAGGGGCTAAGATAAACTGTAAGAATTCTGAAGGAAACACTCCGTTACATCTTGCTTGTGGTGGCAATGATCCTAAAAATGATGATTCCTCAAAATTTGAAGAGTTTTTAATCGGCCAAGGAGCAAACACTAATGCCAAAAACTCCTTAGGCCAGATCCCAGCAATGTTGCTCTTTATCAATAGGGAAGACGACGAACTTATTTTGAAAGGCAGTAAATATGATCCTATAAGCACTCTTATGAAATTTAACAACACTGATTTATCTATTGTAGACAAGTTTGGAAGAAATTTGCTTCACTACGCATGCATAAGAGGAGCCACTATTTCTGTTATCAGTCTTCTTGGTCAGAGCATCACAGCTGGAAAGAAAGCTAAGATATCAAAGAAAAAGATCAACACTGAATTAGAAGATTACTCAGGAACTACTCCTTTTGGATACGCTGTGAAAAATAACCATCAAGATTTATGTATCCACTTGATTCAGTTAGGCATTGAGATACCTGAATTCATTCCTCAGTTTGAGTACAACCAAGAAAATGAGCTTTATAAGTAAGCTTTGTAATTATTGACACCTATAGAGCTAAAGCAGATAACTCTATGTTCATCTCACAACAATGTTGGAAGAATAAAGAGCAATTTGGAATACTGAAAGAGAATCCTGATACTAAGTGTATCTTTGACAAAGGGATTTATCAGATTCAGAAGGAATCAATCCTTGACCTAGCCATTCAACACAACATGGACTCAGTGATCTTCTTGTTGCTAGAGAAGATCACTGATGTCCCGACTATGCTGATGATATGCTTGCAGAATGGCAAAATGGAGTTGTTCCAGAAAGTTGGAGAGCAAGGCCTGAAATTAGCCTCCAAAGGTAAAAAGTAAGCAGTCAGAATTTAATAGATTTTAGAAAACTGATAATTCCTGATGAGAAATCTCACTTGATGAAGAAGATACTAGAGGTCCTCTTAACTCCTGGATCATATGATGAGTCTAAGTTCGAGCCTCCTCTCTTTTATTCAATCATGCATGAGGATGAGGACCTATTGAAAGCAATCCTTGAGGGACTCACAGATGATGAGATTGTAGATGAACTTAACAAAAAGACATTCAAAGGCACTTCTATTTTCTCTGAAGTTTTTAGAGATATTGTTGAAGAGAAAGATAATTACTTTGAAACTGTGGGCTCATTGTTTGACCCTATTGCTGACTTAATCCCTTGCCTAGACCCATTCATTAGAGTTCCTAAAGGAGAGGAAATAAAAGGATTTGAGTACATTCATCCTTTACTATACAAAAACATCACAGAGGGGCTTTATAGTGTCTACCCTGGAAAAGATTCAGTGCAAGAGGAAGGATTTCTCAACATATTTGACCTGGCTGGGGTATTCTGAGAGCACACTGGGGAAAACTATATTGACCAAGTCTTTAGATACGGAAAAATATCACAGTTCTTGAGCCATCCTGAGATCAAACCTCAGGCTGTGAAATACCTAAGTGTGAAAAAAAATAGAGCTAATATCGAGAGACTCAAAAGCTATACTATCAATGGAGCTCACCTTGACTTTGAAAGGATTTCTCAAAAATGTGAAATCGAATTTGGCTTCTCTTTGAACTTCAAGAAAAAGAAAGAGAGGCATCCTGAAGTCAAAGCAAAGATGAAGTCTCTCTATAAGTATGATTTTATTAAGGATTCTGAGAAGGTACTTGACCAAAGAGTCAAACAACAGCTCAAGAAGCTCAAGGAAAAAGGCCCAAAATTCTCACCAAAGAACACCTCTCAGACAAAATTTGAGTGTGAAGTAGCTCTCGATGATGCTACTACTAAGAACTGATATGTTGTCAAAGATGTAAGTGAGAGTTGCTAAGTCATAGACTGAAGGAGCGAAGCTTTATTTTGATGCATTCAGACCTAGAATGAACTTCAGAAATTATTCAGTCCATAGCTGCTTGTACTATTACATGCAACTGTTGAGAGATGAGGGAAAAGATCTTTACATACTATGGACATCATGGGGAAGTCTTGGATATGATAATCCTGAATCGCAGCGGACTCCCTTCAAATCCTTTGAAGAAGCAAAGAAAGAATTCGTAAAAGTGTTTAAGCAGAAGTTTAAAATTAAATGGGATGAAGCTTTTCTCTATATTGGGAACCCTAAAATTGGATTTTACCAGCCAGGATTATGTGAAACTATTTTCTTGGAGGATCTCATTCCAAAACTGGACTATAGTGTCCCAATGAAATCTGACATAAGAATGAAGGCCTTATTCAAAGAGTTTATCGAAATCGATAAGATTGTGAAGCAGTTTGTGAAAATGGACTACACTCACGAGTGTTTGATGGTCTCTCCACTTAACAATCCTAAAATAGAGGAAGGGCTGAAAATCTTAGATGAAATTATATCAAAATTTGCTTTTATTGAAAAATGCAGGGAAGAGTCGAACATTGAGGATTACAATCTCACATGCGCCCAGATCAGTGAGCTGAGCAATAAGTTCTACAAGCTAATTCCAAGGAGGAATCCAAAGAAATGACCAAACTTGACTCATTCTGGAAGAGTCGATACTGAGAAGAAAGAGATTCATGAATTACTAAGGATGAGCACCAACATCAGAATGATGGTTGCTGCTTCTGTACATGACAAGAAAATAAACCCTCTTGATTATATCTACTCTTGTTGTAGGAATCAGACTGAGTTTGATTTTGTAGAAGAAGGAACTGATGAGTTTGAGCTCATTAAAACCTTCCTTAATATAAATGACATCAAAAACAAGAACTTGATTGAGGCAGTATTGAAAGTTTCAGATGATAACTGCACAGAAGCTCAGAACAAAGCATTTTATCAGAAGGAAGGACATACAATGCTTCATACGATGATCCCTAAATCTCACTTCCTATCATTCCTTCTTTCAGGGATGAAACTTACACCTGATATCATATATCGTGAAGATGATCCAGATTTTCCTAGTAAGGACTACGTATTTTATGAAAAACTCTGTGACGAATGGTATTCAACCGAATACGAAGATTACATCCTCATTTGTGAAGTAGCAATTGGCACAATGGTTAACCTCATTGACAAATACGAAAGCGAAGAGCTAAAGCCAAGCAGCTATGTAGATACCTTCAGAAGAATGGGCACATCTGGGACTTGTTGGGACACTATGCTTGTAAAAGATGGTGTAAAGTAAGTTCTTTGCATCTAATTTTCCTTCCTCTTGCTAATTTATTCCAACTAATATACAGATGGCCTCAAAACCACATTGAAGAATACGGGCAGTTGCCATACTTCAAGACTAAAGACTCCAAGAATATTTCCCAATTCGATGACTTTAAGCATTATCTGAATGGAAAGATCTCCTCTGAGCAACTCAAGGTAGGAGATTATGGGCTTTGTGAAGTGAAGGAAGACGAAGAAGATTCTGAACAAGAGGACTCACAAATGGAAGGTAAGCCTGGCCTTTGACAAACCCTTTATTTGAGAGTTTGCTCATTTTGTAATAGACAGCCAGCAAGAATCTGAAAATGAAGATATGTCAGAAAACTCCGAAGTAGATGAGTCTATGAGTGAGAATGGAGACTGTGATGAAGAAGATGAGGGAGAAGATGAGGGAGAAGATGAGGGAGAAGATGAGGGAGAAGACGAGGGAGAAGATGAAGAGGATGACGAAGAGCTGGAGGAAGGTAAATAAAGTCCTGACAAATGTAGAATCAGATGAAGTAGAGCCAGACGAAAATGACCTATTCTTTGTAGATACATATTTTAATAAGAATTATAAGAGAATGAAGGGTATTTGATAGATTTTTAATTGTAGATAATCCAGTGAAGAATCCTCTTGAGCCAAACCAAGTTACAGCAATTAAGAAGACAAAGGATCAGGACTTTGACAACCTAGATAGTGAGATGAAGAACTATACTGCTTACTCTGTGTTTAACAGAAACAATTTCAGAATTAGATACATCGCGAAGATCAGGAAATTGGCCGATGATGAACAAATCTCCGAGCTATCTAGTGAAGACTCAAGCAGAGATGGTTCAGAAAGCGATGCTTCAGAAAGCAATGCTTCCTAAATAGCGAATTTGGGCTGAAGGATACAGATAACAAAGACCCTCAGGTACCTGTACATGTGTAGAAGCGAGCCTCGTTTCTGAAGAATTACAGGGACCTCTAGAGGTCTGTTTATTATCTAATCTTACAATAAACCATCTTTACCTAACTAAAGCAATAGGCTGCCTAGTTTATCTTCCTGTAAACTTCTGTTGGTGCCGCGTAATTTTAGAGGATTTATAAGGGATATCCCAAGCTTGATTAGAGCTGATCCTCCTTATGATTAGGTATGTGCACAGATGACTGATTAATTCTGTTCAATACGAGATGGAGCTAATGGGGTTTTGGGGTTTTGGGGTTTTGGGG